CCATGTCGCCCGCGTGCCTGTGCGCTACGTGATTGACAAGGATCGCATGCAGCAACGCAGAGCTCAGTTCAAGAGCAGCCGTCTGCGTATGTCATCAATAACATGATGCAGGGATGGGAGCATCCCTCCCCCACTCCCGATCGTCCGTGGCAAGTGAGTGACATGGCGGTGAATCAAATGCACAAAGATGAGCATGCAGCGGACAGCATGAGCAATGGACGGAGTAAGAACTCAAGTCGGGCGGGACGAAGACCGAACACACATGTCGTCATGCTCAATCGAAGCGATCGTCGAAGTCGCACGCACATCATCATGGGCGTCACACACCCTCACTCACAATAGGCAAGAACGCCGGGTGCTTATATCGACGGGGAGTCGGGGAAGGACCTCGGACACGAGAAGGACACTTACCTGCTCATCACGCTTCCTATCCGTGGAGAGCCACTTCCGGAGCTCTTGGTGCAGGTGCTTGACCTCCTCCACGGAACACTTTTTGCCGGCGACACGCGCGACCCTTGACTCGAGCTGCACGCGGGTCTTGTCCCGGTCCTTGTCGCCTGTGAACAAGAGCACGTCGTCATCACCACCTAGGATGTGGTTGTCGGGCGTGTCGGTGGCCCGCGGTGTCGACCAGCCGCTCCCGTGGCCACCGAAGTCGACGCGGATCAAACGAATGGTGTCGCTAGTGAAGGGCACGCGACAGAAAGGACAGGAAGGAGTCTGTCGCGGCGATGTCTTTTCCAGTATGTTGTTGCAGCAGTTCAGACATAGTATGTGGCCTGTACGACGATGGCGACGGTGGTCAGGAAATTTTCGGCGGAGGAAGTTGAAAGGGAACTCACCACACGGAATAGAGTGAGGATAGTTGTGCGAGCCATACTCCTCTGCGCAAACATCACAGAGAGAGCCGGGATTAAGGGAAATCATGGCGGCGACCCTCTCTACAGCGACAAAACCTGGGCAGGGAAAGGGCAAACATTGAGATGAGCGGAATCAAAAAGGTGAGTCAGGACTATAAGTAGCCGCGAGAGCCTGGGCAGCCCAGATAGGCAAGACATCACGACGCCGCGTGCGGGTTCCTGGCGTGCCCTCTGCCCGGGCGAAAAACATGCGGCGTTCATTTCTCGCGCTCCCTGCTCCCCGGAGTCCCAGGCCCCGGTTGCACGGCGGAAAACTCACCTGGACTGTATTCTACGCCTCCACTCAGACGCAAATCCGCGCTCTCGCCGCCCCCGTCGCGCTGCGGTAACCCTCTCTTTTTGTGCTCGACACGCTCAGGTGCAGCTTGGCGCTAAACTGCATAAAATTTCCTGCGTGAAAATAATCAGCTCCGGATCCAGTGCAGCGCAGACAGTGCCTTCACAGCCACACGGATTACTCACCTGAACCGAGGATGAGAGAGCAAGAGGGTCCGAGCGTAACAGGGAGTGTGTGCGGTGGAATGTGAGATGAAGGAGGAAGGTGGCCGAGTCACAAATTTTCCAGCCCGGCAATCCGTAGCTGTACAGTTCTTGGTAATTTCGGTGATCGCTTAGCTTATCCGACAGAAATTGGTGATCCGAGATTTGTCAGGTAAGCTTTCTCTTCCGCTTTCGTTCCGTCGTCCGATCTCCGAGGTTGACCGATCAGGGCAGCGTCTGGCAGCGTGCGAAGGTGGCGGGAGACGAGTGTGGGTCGCTCTTCGTCTCCCCATCCTCTTATATAAAAGTTCAGCAAAAAAGAACTTCTGTTGGCAACAGCGCACGTACGTTTAATGGCAGCCTCCTGACCCGCTCAATTACCAGGTCGGTGGTGCCATCAGGATTCCATGAACGCGTTCCTTACATCTTCGGCAAGTTCTGACGTACAGTTCAAGATGGGATCCATATGCATCGCCCGATCCGCTTACCTTTGGCCGCCCCTCCTTCACCTCGCCGACATCGATCCTCTCATCTCACATCGACGTCTACAGCGCGGTGTCTTTCATAATCGATCGAGGTTCACTTGCGGGCGGCGGCAAATGAAAGCCTTTCTGACAGCGCTCGGCCGGTTGACCAACGGCCGATTCAACTCTCACTCACTTCTCTAATACGGCGCAATTCCCTCCTCCTGGCATCCGAGTGGCCTTCATGTGCTGTGAAACGTGCCGCAGCCCGGACAACGCAGCCTTGCCACGGATGACCCGGATTATCCTCGATAGGTGGCACCTTCTGGACATCTGACGTCTCGGTTCGAACATCGCCTCTGGCGAAGCAGGTGAGCTGCCGATGCATTGTTGACACCCCATCGTTCTTCTGTCTTCTCCCGGATGCTCCTAGTGTCCGGACAAGAGCCTATGTGTACGTCTCCCCTCGTTCACGCACCTTCACAATCGAACGAGACTTTAGCTCTCGCACACCCGTTCCTAATCCTGTTATCGCCTCGGATCCCCTACCCTCCCTGCCTTGCCATGACGCAGTTTCATACGTTGGCTTGAGGAACGTTCGGAGGCCAACGCCCAACCACGGATCTGGATCTGAAGGACGAAGCACGTTCGCGCCAACGACTCAGAAGCCTGGACAGACGCGGGTGAACATACATTGTGCACCGATGATCATCCCAAGTGGGCATGAAAGCCCCCGGCCAATCCTATTCAGCACGTCGGTAAGTATCTTCCATTGCGCGGACCCACTGTCCCGTGCCACAGTCCGAGTGCAGTAACTATGCTACGATCGGGTGGCACAATCCAAAGCCGATGCTCCGGAACAGACGTGGACACGATGCGACGCAATTGAATCACTCACCCTCGAACCCATCACTTCACAACCCCCCTCCCCCCACACCCCAGCTCAATACTACTGAACTCAGTCCATCCTCGTGACCGCCTCACCGGATCTCAGGCACCCCTCGATCGAGTGTCATCTCAGCTTGCGAGATGCGGAGTCGATAAGCTATGCGTCGAGCGCGAGCTTGTGCGGACCGGACGCGTGCACGAGCGGCGAGATGCGACGCGACGCGACGCAGCGGGTCGCGCGCGTCGGCGAAGTGCGCCGGTTGGCTCCCTCCGAGACGCAGTCCGAGACCCCGGGGGCACGAACCCAGTCGACCGTTCCCGTTCCGTCGACTGGAAACTGCACGTCCAATCCTACATAGCCAACTCTAGCCTGCAGCGACGCGATGTCGAGCCGAACGTCCCGGGCCTATTCGCCGACGTGAGGCGAGTATGGCGATGGCGATGGCGATAATCCGTCCCTAGCCCGGTCTGGATCCCGCACAGACTCGTCCGAGTGCAAGCTCTGCCGCAGCTTGCTTTGCAATGTCGAGCGTGACTGGCTGAGAGAGCACTGCGCGTCATGCGATGCATATGGTGTGAGGGTCTGTGATAAGGTACACGTGTAAGTCTGCAGGCGCATTATCTTTGGACTGCGTAGGCTGTGTAGATTCGTTGTTGAGTAAATGGCATTCTTCCTATGCAGGCGGCTGACGTCTGATCTCACCTTTCAGTAGGGCCCTCTGCCAGACAGCATGCTTCATTTACCATTATCAGCACTAGTGCATGGACTCCCCGTTTCTGTACGCCAGCAGCGAGAGGTGATGCATAAGTCGTGTGTGCCCTTACATTCTGCGAAGGTAGTGTCTTCCATGGGTCAGTCCTGGTCAATTCCTGTACGAGACGCATAACGACATCGCTTACGACTCCAGCCTCGCATGCTGATCCGCTGCTCTCGCGATCGACACGCGGATCACAGGAGGCGCATCAGTCTGTCAGACTGGCAGGCTGCCTCGATCGGGATCGGAACGCCCGTAGCCTAAGGTTGTGTCAGTCCACAGCCTGCCCCCGTGCCGCAGTGGTCCGGTAACTTACCTACGCGTGTTGCATCGTTGGAATGCTAGCCGACGCACATACCTCCTCCATGCGCTCGCCAAAGCCCCCCGAAGTACCGCTTACTGCAAATGCTTCGTTCAGCATTAGAGCCCGGTCTTTCGAACGTGAGCTCGAGGACGTCGCGTGGTACGACGACATCTCATTTGCATCTAGTAACGATCAAGTCCGCGAGCGTGCGATCAGAAATTGAACCTAGAGTATGCGACACGCACGATAGTGGCCTACAGGTAGACTCGCAAGCCAGTCGTTGAGGCGCTTCTCTCCTTTTGTACACTCCTCTGTTTGGTAACTTTTGAAGCCAGGAAAGGTAACCGGAGTGCGAAAAGAAGAGAAGCGCCTCTAACGACTGGGCGAATTGGCCCCCATTTACCTTGGTCGCCCCGTGGGAAACGAGACTTAGAGAAATCGCGTTGCGTCTCCTCAAGGGAAGATCGCGCGCGAGTGTCCCGGATGCCATTGCAATCCCACCGCAGTAATTCCACCAGTAGAAATACGATCGAGACATAGAATAGAGCCAGAACATACAATAATGAATGCATAAACACAACGGGATTGTCCTCATCCGCCCCGTCCTCGTCCTCGCCCTCGTCCTCGTCCCCGTCCAACACGCGTTGCGGCCTGTCCGCCTCTGGAAGAGCCCGACGTCGAGGCCATGAAATCATCCGCTGTCAATTGTGTGCGAAAGATGGGTTGCCGTGAGGGTGTAGCCACATGAGCCGGGCTGAACATGCCTGGCCCAGGTGCAGCTGTAGGTGGAGGAGGGGCCGGAGGCCAGGCAACAAACGGAGTGGCAATGGTTTGTGGGGACAGCGAATGGGTGTATGAGTGACCCGGATAGTGATAATATTGGATTGGTCCTGCGTGAAATGGCCGAGCAGCCGCTTGCCAATGAGTCGAGGTAGGTGGTGCAGGTGTCATGTCAAGGCGGTGCGGACCAGGATTCGGAACTTGAAGAGGGGTGTGGGAGGACGCAGAAGCGTGCATGTAAGGCGTCGCTAGCATGACCGGGCGTGTAGGAGTCACTGGGATATTCGCAACAGCTGGACTCGGCCCCGCTACCGCGGCGAGATCAGCATGAGACGCTGTCACTGTCGGTGGTCGAGCATCGCCGGCATACATGGCCGTTGCGGCGTCGTGACCCGTGCTGCTTTGAGGCTCACGTTCGGTTACAGGAATCTAAATGTGAATCACGGTCAGTGTGTTCACCAGTGATAGACTCGTGACGGCTTACATTGGCAACCGGACGCTGTCGCTTCAACGGTCTTGCGTCCGAATCTGCCTGCGGGGATTCACCCGTGACGACGGCAGTGTTCACTTCCGGAGCTGCCCGCTTTGTTGCTGGTTTCATAGTGGCTGATTTTTGTGTAGCCCGAGGTTTCTTGGGTGGTTTAGGCTTCGGGTAGAAGGGGATATTCAACGAACAGAGAAGATCAGAGAGCTCGCCTTCGTAGTCATCTCGCCAGAGCCACCCCTTGAGCATCTCTTTGGCTTGTGTGGGTGTTACTGGTCCCACTGAAGTCAGCTTTTCGATGATCGCATCGTCAAGCAGTGCGCTGGCCCCGAAGATGGCCTGTGGATAATCTCGTGCGAGTGTCGTACTGCGCCACTGCTCGAGTGCACTCTGCGCCTTTGGGTGAGATAAGCCGTATGTTTGTGACACGGCTTTGGCAGGTCGTGTGAGGCGTGGTGGTCGAGTACGAGCAAACAGCGTGGGGTCGCAGAGATCACAGCAGGGCACAGTACGTTGCGAGCCGGGCGTTGTCGAATCGCAAACGGGCACTGTATAAATGTATCGAGATTAGTAAACACCACCGAGCTACTACCAGCCATAAATCGGGTTTAAGTGAACATACCCTGAGGCGGGCACTCGTACATGTCCCTCCATACTCCTCGGCGGCATCGGGTGCTCTGTACAAATGCTAAGAGGCCCTCGTCTTCTCCCTCACGATCAAGATGCGGCTGATCGCGAGGATTCAGCGGTCCGTCGGCATTGCCGGTGCTATTCCCGCGATTCACTCCATGTAGCTCCGCGTACCCTTTGGCAGCCTTCTTGCTTGTCGACTTAACGTTCCGGCCTCGTGTCCCACGGCTTTTGGCGACACGGCTGACGGGCTTCTGCCGAGCCTGAGGCTCCTCCAGTGGGCTGTCAATTGAAGACTGTATATCAGTCGAATATGCAGAGCGTTCAACGAGGAGGATCGCCAGCCCTGTTCGCCCTCGGCCTCGTGCTGCTCTGCCAGCTCGTTGTATGAAGTTGGAGAGTTTCGCGGGGAGCTTCCATTGAACTACAAGATCGATATCAGGGACATTGCAGCCCTAAAATGACATGGTGAGTGAGTATTCAAGTTCGTGGGTCGTGGTAGGCGAGGGAAACACACCATTCCTGCCGCATCTGTACACACGAGAATGCGTATTGGCTGGTTTTGATGATGCTCGCGTCCGATGTCCTCGTCACTATTAGAACTGAAGTTGGAGTTGTCGCGAAATGCGGCCATGGCCGCGTTCCGATACTCCGGCGACATCGTCGCATTGAAGGGGCGTATAAGGCCGGAGTTGGCGAGCGATGGATTGCGTGTCTGGAGGAGCGCCTCGAGGTGGTCGATGATGTCATTGCCGGTCTCGATGTTCTCGACATAGACGTACGTCTTCGGGATGTCCTGTGGGGAACTGATGGAAGTGGGCAGGACGAAGTCGAGGTCGGCGAAGGTGTTCTGTGGATGTTCGCATGCCCGTACTACGATCGAGACATTGGGTCGATCATTACCAATGTTAATGAACTTGCTGCCAAGCTTCGGGAAGTGAAGCTTGGAGTGCAGGTCGCGCCGGACGCGTGCGGTGAGTGTGGCTGTGACAGCGATGATGGGGGTACCAGGGGGGAGGAAGGCGCGTACTGTGCCCAGGCTATTGTAGTGCTTCCGGAAGTTTGCTCCCCAGTGCGAGAGGCAGTGTGCTTCGTCAAGCACGATGCTCAGCACCCGCGATGTGAATTTCTGGTTACGGAGAACGCGATCCTTGAACATGCGGGATTGTAGCATCTCAGGCGAGATGAGGATAATTCGGTATTGGGCTTGCAAAATGCCCTACAATGGGTTAGAAAACGAGAAACAGACAAAAAGCGAGTGAACGCACTTTTATGATCTCTCGCAATTTTTGGGGATCACTTTGACTATTGACTGCGACTGCAGGTAGCCCGAACTCGGTCTGGAATGTACCGACCTACAGTGCTATCATCTTAAGAGAACAGAACCGTAGACAAACACTGTTAGGACTGACCATCTCCTCCTCCAGTGCCAACAGCGGGCTGACCATAATCGTGGTCTTCTCGGCATTTCCTGGCCACACATACGGACCTGCCGCAATCGCTGTCTTCCCAGAGCCGGTGGGTGCTTGAATGATGGTGTCCGTGCCTTCAAGCTGGGCCCTCACACCTTCGAGCTGGAACTGACGTGGCCCCTCGCTCCACTTGAAAGCGTTCTTCATGAGTAGGGAGAGCTCATCCACCTGAGCCGCCGTGAGCACAGGCCGGCAAGCCGGAGCCGCCAAAGGCTTCTGCTTCGACTGGCGAAGCTTCCAGGCATGTTTTGCGGGGCCACGCATTGTCTGACAGCTGTCAGTGAGTGTACGAGAGAAGGGTGGCTGACGATCGGTGAGACGTGGAAGCGCTGACAACTTGAACGACAGTGAGCTTTGATCGACAGAGCTCGTCCTCACCTCATCCTCTGTCATTTGGTTCTGAAGTGTGCTTTAATGCCGTCCAGTCCTCTCCCTCCGTCTTCGCCTGTCGTGTCGGAGCCTTCTTCTCTGACAAGTTTATCATCTAACGGGCAGTCCATTCACGATCTCCTGCCACTGCCCTCTCTTCTCGACACCGCGGGTCTGTATCAAATCACGCCCAATAGCGATGATCCGCTCGCACAAGGCGACAATGCAATACCCTCCGAGAGGTCCATTCCACGGACTTCACCAATTCGAACCGTGGCAGATCGCCGACGGAAGGCTAGAGTCGCCCGGGAACGCGAACGCGAGGCAGCCGAGGAGGCTGAAAGGCAAGCAAAGGCAGAAAAACGAAAAGAGATATGTCAGCTGGTGATGTCAATTCTCAGTGAAAACGACGTACCTTTTGGCGACCTTCTCGAGTTTGTTTCAGATCCAGCCTACCAACAAGGACGAGAGAGATACTGGGGTCTCTTCGTGGACACCGCCCGAGTTCGAAGAATCCTAAATTTCTGGGTCTCTTCAGAGAACAGCACAACTGGGCGCGAAGCTGTGCGAGACTGGGCGATAGAGCATGTCAGTCGACTCGTCGCTCGAGAGGCACGTACCGCCACCAAGGATCAATTTCTCCAAACGCAGAAACGGGCCATCGACGAGCAATTTGCGCTCGGCTTCAGCATGGTCGCAACACATGAACAGCTTCTAGAGCTCTGTCCATCGATGCTGAGGATCCTAGACTCATTCAGCTGTACAGCAAAACAGCGTCGGAAGCATACTCCTCAATGGGAGGCTCGCCGTTGTAATGTGAGCTTCTGCCTCTGATCCATCACTGCTGAACTGATTCGTGACTCGAATATCTGAATGCAGTATCTTACAGCCAGTACATTGATTGCGCTGAGCTCACGTAGCCAAAAAAACAACTACACCCGCCATGTATTTGGGCTGTTTGCCTACGCCTCGGGAGCCCAGCGGCAGATGATCGAATTCTTGTCGCATATCGGGGTGTGCAGCAGCTACAGCACCATCACCGGAAATATCAAGGACAGCGAGCCGGATCTGACCAGACCTGAGGTTATTCATGACGATGACCACAATGGTCACACCAACGACCCACCAGAAGATGTAGGCGACAAGACCTTCACCGCTCCAGGCCATGCCCGTGCTACCACTGTTCTCGATGGCAAGAGCTCGGACTCTGAGTCAGACTCAGACTCAGACTCAACCGAGAATGAGCATGAGAATGTATGCGACTCACCGCCCATCGGACAAACCCTGCCATCCCCTGAACCCGAAGAACCCCATACACCGCCTCGAGCAGAGCAAGCACGATCTTCAGACGACCTATGGGAATCGTTTGAGGCGGCTGTGGCGTCGCAAGCCGAAGACGATGCTGGACGAACCGATCAAGACAGATCGCTGTCTGCGCGGTTGGTCGACACGCTGACAGAGCTGCGTACAGTGGTCGAGGAACACGAGAGAGACGACGCAGCTGAAGGCGATGCACGGACGAAAGGGCGTGTTGTGATCGGGCTTCTCAAACGCCTGTCGGACGCGTGTAAACGCGCTGCACGTGCGAACGCGTCTACCCGTGTCCTTGCCTTTGTGTACGACAACATCAACATGCTCTTCCGGATCGCAGAGGCTCGAATGGGATCCACTGGCAAGGACGCCCAGCAGAACGGCACCTGTGCGACTGCGTTTGCTCTGTACGATGCGGACCCAGAGGACATGCTCACCTCAGACTACATCTCTTCCTTTGCCCACGCTTCACCTCTCACGCTTCGCGACATCCTCCTCACGCCGACCGAGAATACGGCGTTCACCGAGCTCATGCAACATACCGTCCTCTCCATCGTTCTCAACTATGGTGGCCCTGCTTTCGCACGTTTCAAAAGTGCTGCCGACTCCTCTGCTGTGAAGACCGCCGTCGACTCCAAGATACCAGTCCATACAACCGAGGTCTTCCCTCTCCCGACTATGGAGATCGATGAGTCGACCATTGTAGGCAATGCAGAGGTGACCAGGTCAATGTTCTCCGCTGTTGGACTCGATATGGCCTCAGATTCGTTCACCCGCACGGTGAAGCTCATTGCGGGTGATCAGCTCTCGATCGCACGCATCCGCTCGCTCACTAGGAACCGTGCTGGTCATGATAGCTTCGCAAACTCTTACCTCTGGGCGGTTGTCATGCCCGGGATCTTTCATTACAAGATGGCTGCGACTCACGGATTCATGGAGCTCCATTATGGCCGCAACACCAGCCCCGGCAACCCTGGCTCTCTCGCATTCCACAACAACCTCCTTGATCGCAAACCCATTGTCCTCACTTCCCTTCCCTCATTCCGAGAATCCCGCGACTTAATCTTCGTCTCACTCTATGCGCGTGTCTTGCGCTGTCTCGAGCTCGTCAGTGGCTCCGAGGATCTTGACGAGTATGCCCAAAACACGACCCTGGAGCAGCTCCGGGACCACTGTGCCGAGATCGTGCGCCGCTTCACGGACGGCAAGTACGTCGATCAGTTGCGCACTGCCCGGACTGCGGAGATGAGAGAACACGTAGGGAGGACGCCATTGGCGGCAGAGGGTCAGTCTAGCAATATCGAGCCTAATGGTGAGCCGGATGTTTGTACTTGAGCTGTTGTATCACGAACTGATTTTCAAAGGCCACACATCATCATCATTCGCCACGACACCAGCCACGGCGAACACGTCTGCGGCGTCTATGATTACGGATGCAGATCGTCCCGACAATGAAGAGCCCCACCCACCCCAACCAACCCAAGGAGACATGGTCCTCGAGAACGCAATTCTGTTCCTGCGTGACGCCCTCATTATGAGGCTCCTCACTGATGCTGTCAAATGCGGAGACTCTGGACGTCTCGTGCTCGTGCTCAAGGTCCTAGCGCTGTACTACCGAGGGTGTGGGCGTAACAAGTATGCCTTGGAGGTCCTATTCCTCGTTCACAACCTCAAACACGTCTGGCCCGAACCACTCAGGTACGTTTAATCCTATCTTCGTGCCTTCGCAAATCACACTGATCTCACACGTGACACTGCAGGAAGATCATTATGAGCAATTGGCTCGTGAATCCGACTGGAAAGGCGAACGCGTGGGTCGAAGTAGATCTCCTTCAAGAGCACTTCAATTTTTGGATCAAGGTATGTTACTTTCATATCCTCGTGACTCTACCATGCTCAGTGATGCAGACTATCTACAAAGCTCACGGCAGCAACGCGTCTTGGGACTGGTTGGCTATGATAGCCCCGTGTATTGACATCCTCCGCCGTCTCGCAAGCCAGATGCATACGCTCCTCGGAGCGAAGCAGGGCACGAGTCACACGAGCCCGAGTCTTGACAAGGACATAAGTCAACTTGTGGCTTCGCTGCGCCGGTTCAACGTCTACGAGCTCCAGCCAGGCCGCGAAATCGACGATGGCACGGATAACTCAGGTCAAGTGGCTGATTCCTTAACTCGGGGACTACAGCGCCTCTCGGAGCCCCTGGACGAATTCAACAAGACGTTCGCCAAGCTTCAGTCTCGCTGCAAGGCTGCCCCCTTGCTTGGTGCGAGGTATTCCAACTTCGGCGGCGGCGACTCCGAGTCGGAGAGCCGTGAGACAGTCGATCCTCATAAGTCGCCGCCATCGCTCGGGATCACTGGCAAAGTGGTCGCTCCTGCCGACGACGCACCGGACCCTGGCGATTCCGGCTCGGACGACGAAGACTTCGCGAATGAAGACGAAGATGAACTTGAAGACCTGGAGCCCCAAGCTTTCATGTCTCTCGAGACGGCGGGCGATGTAGCACTCGACATGGACATTCAAGAGGACTTGGTATTCGATTTCTAACGTGTAATACAGTACAGAGACAGAGTTCCATGGAGATATTGTCCTTCGAGAGGCTCAGACCACGCACCAGCGAAGGCAGCCATCGCGCGATTCCTCTAAGTCCTATTTCCCACGGATCGACCAAGGTAAAGGGCGGCCAATTCGCCCAGCCGTTCTGGCGAACAGGACAAGTGCCACGACGGACTTTGAATTTCTTAACGCCAGAACGGCTGGGTACGAGCCTAGCCTACAGGTGTCGGTGTCAGTGATTGATGGCTGATGCGACCTAGATTGGTGAGACTCGAGTCGCCGTTTTACTGTATGCGCCACACCCGCTGCCCGTGTCACCACTACATTGAGGCGCTTGGGCAAAGGGTTGACAGGCTTTAGAAATGGTCAGTACATCACCCATGCGGATGAGGACCTGTAGTGACCGTAGAATCCGCCTTACGTGCCCTTGGCCCTGACGCGACGGCACCATGACGACTTCGATGTAGAATCTGTGATCCAATGTCTTTGCAAAATGAATTGACTGGAGAGCCCGCAACGACATTTTGGCAATCAGACTGAGACTTATCCGTGGTACTGCCTCAATGTACTACGAAGACGCACCTGAGATTCCAGCTGCCAGTGGGCAAGACAAGGACAAGATGTCCTTCGGCCTCGTCCCCGCATACAAGTCATGTGTGAATGACGCAGCTCAGCTGTCGTGTACATAGTGTACCCAACCAGCCGGCTGAAGCTGCGATGGAATTCTCGCCCAATTCGTCCACACCGCTCCAAGATCCGAGGTCAGCTGTGCAGAATTGGAAAATAGACTTGGCCCGTACCATCCCGGGCGACTTCTCGCTCCATCCTTCTGTCCCGTCATGCATGATCTGTCCTGGCCGGATCTTCCGTGTCGGGCGGAGCGCACCGCCAGGAAGATGGCACGGTGGCATCGAACCGAGACGCAGTTTCCAGTCAATTGCGCCCGTCGTCACACCCTGCCGATGAGCGCATCGCTGTGTCATTTCTCGCACGGGCCTGAGAGAACCTGAGACGAGAAAACTGGCGAGCAGCCCTATCACCCATAGGACAAGGTCCGCCCGGGTAAGTTGAATGTCAAGGCTGCAGCACACATTCTCTGTCCTGTAATGAATCGTTTCAACTTGAGACCGTCTCTCTATGAGCCGTCGATGTACGCAGGTCAAACACGGACTCACCGCTACTCGAGCCACAACGTCACACCGCATACAGTGCGCAGTTGTACAGAGAAAAAAATCGCGACATCGGGGAACAAACCCCAAAATACCATGTCTAGGGCCGGTAGCTAGCTAGTGGGATTTCGAGCCGGCGTACCACTAAATCGTGGCTCTGTGTGTGTTGAAATCAGGCGTTTAGGCTCATTGACTAGATGCATCACGCACCACGTGTCTCCTTCCGTATGACATGCCTCCAGTTTTTGGACCTTGTGGTGAACGTGCGATTCCCACATCGCTCGTCCTTTGGCCGCATCGTTCGCGCCAGCGATGAGATCTTGAGATCTGAGAAGAGGAGACGATTTTCTTGCAGGCATCAGAGCTAGAGGCGTACGCTAGATTTTATACGGTCGTCAGTAGTGGAGCGCTTCAGAAGCCGTGGCGGAGTTACAATGGTGAGGAGCGAAAGCCAACGACAAATCAGGAAGGTGCCCTGCAGTATCAGGAAGGTGACGTACGTCAAAATCTTGCTCGGAGACCTTTATTGAGTCTTCGAAGTTGACTGCCTGTCAAGGGTGAGCTGGTGATCGAGGCGTCGACGCAAGCTCACCCCTACTCAGCCGGATTCCGATATCGATGAGGTCTAGCTGTTTACTTATACAAAGCGCGCGATCCGATTCCTTGTACAAGCAGGGCGCAATGCTCGAAGACTCGAATTCGACCTTGCCAATGAGAAAGTCCTGAAAGTAGAAAGAAATCAAACAAGATCGGACTATCGGAAATAGTATATGGTACACATCTCCCACGATGTACTGTGGATGAAGAAACAATGTTATATATTGCGGAAGACTACCGGCCGTGCCATGATGATGATTACCCAATCCACCTCAATTGACGAGAGAACGCATAGACGAAACAGTGCCGACACGCACAAACCAAGATTCAACACAGGTCTGTGTCTTTGAGAATCTTCGGTGTCGCATCCAGGCTCGTCCTCGTTGACGTGCCTGGCTCGCCAGTTTGTTCCTGGTGACAAATGAGTGCGAGTCTCATAACGTCGAGTCGTACGTACTAAGTCCCGCAGAGGGTAATCGCCGTCCTCTTGCACATGTTTCTCGACAGTGATACAAATGACACGTTCCGACCGACTCACGGCATCAGAGAAACCTGCTCTCTTTCTACGACGGTGCAGACATCCAAGCCCCGCGGTAAACGGAGAATCGGCGGCGCGTGGTTCCCGACGGGTCGTGGTGGTTGCAGCGCACTCGCTCCGTGCGGTCGCCGAAGTGCACTTGCGGACGTTCAGCGTAGCGAGCAGAGAGTTCAGAAGTACTGTCGTAGGCGATTGCGATAGTGTCAAATTAGGACATGCGTGCTTCGCAGAAACAAGGTGACTCACGTTTGGGGAGAATGAAGTATATCGCGACGAAGGCGAATTTCATCGGGACGGGAAGCAGAGCGTACTGGAGCGATTGAACCGTAAGCGGAGGAGTCTGCGAAGAACGAAGCCAACCAAACATACCAGGAGAAGACACAGTAACGTGCAGAGGCTATAGCGTAATCAGCAGCATGACGGAGACAACACAGCAAATGCATTTACCTTGTTAGGAGACCTATGCTGATGCTATAGATCATCAAAGAATCTATGATATACTCAGTACTGAAACCACTGTGACCGTCAGTCGAAGCCGATGGTGCAAGGCTAGAAAACCCACGTCGGCATGCCTGTACGGAGTTGTTGCAGGATCCAGCAAAGCAAGACGGCAATGAGTACGTCTGCGAGCACACTTGATGCCAGATTGGTATATATGAAGACCTGCTAATGGATTATCGCCACTGAGCCGAGTTTCACGCCGGGAACAGCTTACGGAGAGTTCTCGCTGCTCGAACACATACTTCGAGGACGTTAAGCTACGGCCGAGTTGAGCACGGATATATCGCATAGAGGAGTGCCATCTTACCCCCAAGCCGAGAACGCTTCACACAAGTGCTCCTCAGTGCTACATCGATGACTTCAGCATAATGAGACATACCGCAAGCGCTCCCTGAGGGTGCAATGTTACAATTTCATACAAATCGAGGCAGTCTGAATCGCTTACCGAAGACCACAAGCGAGGTCGCTGCCTACGCGTTCATGAGCCCGAGATATCATGCGACTGCGGATGGAGCTTACGATGGTAGCTACCCTCCACACCCGGTAATGTTCGCTCACTGATACGGTGAGCGCTGCCCCTTCGACTCGCATAACATACGTGCTCACCTTTCCAGATGCGGTACGAGAAGATGCTGTTCGATAACGACCGACATCAGCATCTACTACCGACGAGCTGATGCGACTACATACCCTCTCACTAAGAAGTCGCTGAGGTTCTGGATCGAAGGCTACAACTCAGTTTTCATTTATCTGTCTAGGCTGCGACTTACGGAGAGCAGAACATGTGCCTGCTCCAGGTTGAGTCAAACCAAACAACATATGATACAGACATACTCGCCGTCATGCTCCTAGTAGAGGTGTCAACTCAGTTGAATGCACGGGAGCGATGGGTGCAGGTCGCGAAATGAACCTACCAGAGAGGCTGGTCAATGGCCTGCATGTTACCAAAGTCGGTAATGACGTATGTATAGACAGCGTGTCCGATGAAAGCGAGGTGAAGCGTGTCCAGGACCCTGAAGATGCACTTTGAGGCACACCCAAACTCTGGATAACTGAGCCATACCATAAAAAGCCAACCTGTGTGACAACGTCAACATTGAATCGACGCCGGAAATTTCAGCGTACGCACCGTAATTCTCAGCCATCGTGGATCATCAGGGTAAAAGCGGAAGAACGTGAGGGTCTGTATCGACGTTATCCCGTACAGTCTGGCTGCTTTGAGTCTCGGTGTCCGCTGCCGGGGCCTGCTGAAGTCCACTCACATCGAAGCGAGAATAGTGCCTAAATGAACCATATGTCAAGAGTATAGTCATCGTCCAGCGTGAATAAGTACTTGCCTACATAGCACGCGCCGACCGTAGCGGCCAGAGAACTGGAGGTGACTGGGAGAGTGCCCATTCGGCAGGACGTGGGGCGATGGCAGAGCGAGCCTGCAAGACCTAGACTGATATGTAAGGGGCTCGACATAGGATGCAAGCAGCATCGAGGGTCTGTGCATAGCTGTCAAACATAGCTGTGCGGACCTAGGCCACCTACCAGATACTGTATCTGGCTTGCGAGACAGATGCAACCACTCATAGTAGATGGGATGGGCTCATATGGCACCCAGAGGCAAAGCAAGTACACCGACTAGCTCAACTCACGGTGATCGCTGTCAACACGGAACTGAAGCGCCAGACGTAGCAAATGCGGTGCCCTCAACTGAGCCACCGAGCGCGCGGATACGGCGCTACTATGAATAGCACTATGTGTTCCACTGAGTGTCTCTGCGGCCATATCTAATATATCAGCATGCACGCCGCACATCCCGGTTACTCACCACTTACAGAAAACCACGTAGTTGGACAGATTGTTTGTGAGTTGGACTCCAGAGTCAACGCTCGGCGTCCGCCGAGTCGACGTCAGTGCAGACATCGCGCACGCATTTCCGCCATTGTGTCGACACCGAAGGTTCAGCGCTCAGCGATGGCTATACATGAGCGAGTTGGTAGCACCTGAGAACCCAGTAGAGTCGTGCCATGCATTCGAAATGAATGAGGTCTGCAAACTAATAAACCAGTGTGTCCGAGTCACCACGTCGCTGCGTCTGCTGTGACTTGCATGATTGTGACCAAAGTATTCCCACGCTTTCAGTCATCACACAAGATCAGCACAACTTGTTTCTGTCATGCGCGTTCCTGTAAGTTCTTGACCGCCTCACTCAGAGCTCCCGTGTCCACCCAAGGGTCAAAAATCACATCTTAAACCCTCGCCGAGAGTCCGTTGTTGAACGTGTCTGCGATGTCACGTACACTCCCCGTTGAGCTCATTCGCGACATCATCTTTCGCTATATCGATAGTTGCACACCTGGCAGGCCGAGCAGCCTAGCTCGTGAGGATACCTTCCTCTGGTACTGCGCCAATGCCTCGAAACCGGAGTGGCATGCTGTCCAGCCGCTTGTGGTGGTATCAAAGGTCCTCCGCGAGGTCACCTTGGAAGCCTGGTTTCGAACCTTCGTGATACGTTATCGCGCCGACTTGGAGAGCTTGTCGACGTCTGTCATTCCCGAGACTACATCTTGGACGAGGTATCGGTGAATCTCCTGTGTACTTTTTCGTGCTGCTCACTTGGCGTGTAGGACAGTTCACTTGATCAGTCCGCGCACCATTGAGTTGGCGGTGCCCCTCCGCCATCCTTCCCAACGGGGTTTCACGTTGTTCACTCGTCTCCGCAAGTTACGCATCGATGCATATCCCAATGACACTACGTATGTCTTGCTTGAGCTACTCGGGGAGATGCCACCTACGATACTTGAGCTCGAGATGCGCTACCACGCCTGGCCAAGTCCGCAGCAGCTCGTTCCGGTGGCGCGTACTTTCCCCAATCTCCAAACCTTTGAGATGCATCAAGAGGTGTCATGGTGTAGCCTCTGCAATACATGTGATGTGCTGCATCTCAGGGAATCACCGCCTCTGTCTATAACCTATACCAACGGCGAGGGTCTTCCGGTACGTCTCAACTTCGCGCTATCCTGTCAAGACGCTGTCGTCCATGTCACTTCCGCAGAGACTATACAGACGTCTTTTGGCACCCCTTCCCCATCTACACACAGTGCGTCTGAGCGTGGCGTACACTCTGACCGGGGACATCAGCCTACAGAGCTTGAAGACGCGATGGCGGGGAGAATGTGGAGATTGTTGCGCGCTCTTTCTTGCCGATGAAGAATACGTGCCGGAGTGGGAGGCCAAGAACAAAGCTGAGCCAAATCCACCCTCTTTGCGTGAAGTGGTCTGGACATTCGCGTACACTCCCTCGGAGATGGATTTTGACATTGAGAGTGGAAGCAATAGTGAAGCAGATGAGGAAAGTGACTACGGCTACACGGACGAGGACAGCGATTAGGGCCGCGAAGGGGAGGCCGGCTCTGGAAGCATCGTACAAGGAGACGGCGGTGAAGCGATGTGGGACTCACGAGATGAAGCATGAAATGCGGGAGGACAAGGTATTGTCTAGTCGCTGTCATTTATCGCGTACTGTATCCGGTGCATCTGCATATCAATGACGAATTTCTCGCAAGTATGGGTCAATAGCAACTCAGGTCGTGTTGAGGGTCTACGATGGGAAACCATGCACTCAAAGTTCACTGTATGTACTTATCAGAACTTACTCACAACGACGGTGACGAGGTCCATATCAGCCGCGTCCGCGGTATGTCACAGCGCCCACCGGCGTCTTTGACGATGACAGCGCTCAAGTACTACTTATTGCATACCTGAGCCTCAGCTTATTGATAACTTACTCAAGTCTCTACAACCCGTCCATCTAACTTACGCCGGCAGCTTGATCGAATCCAATGCTTCCAAACGAGTTACTGCGTGAAATCATCTCCTGCTACATCGCCGCATCTGCATGCTTAGGCGGCGTAGGAGGATCCAGTGGGATAGGAGGAGGTCAATCAGGGACAAAGTTGCCGTTTGCGATGCAGAGGCCAACAATCGATCGAAGCCGCTATGGCACACGGTGTGCCCACTCACCTTAGTATGCAGTGTTGTGCGCAGGTTGACGTTGGAAGCCTGGTTCGAGACATTCGTGGTGCATAATCCTTCAGAGCTTGAAGATCTGAGGACCTTCCCTGAAGTACCGTCGTGGACTAGGTGAGCTGGATCGGACTTAATCGCAACGCGTTACTCATCCGCGTAGAGTAGTACACTGTATCAATCCTACCGACCTCTGGGATGCATGGTGGAATTGGCGAATTCACAATGTCATTCCGTGGGACTTCACGCACTTCGCACGGATGCGCAAACTGCGATTCGACTTGTGCATGGAAGACATCTCCACTGTCGTTGTCGAATCGTTCACAAACGTGCCGCCCACTGTCCTTGAGCTCGAGATGTGTTACTACACTTGGCCATCTCCAAAGCATCTCGCTCCGATGGCGCACACCTTCCCTTACCTACAGGTCCTCGAGCTGCGACGAGCAACAGGGTGGTGCAGTCTCTGCGAGACAAGCGACGTCCTACATTTGTATACGAGACCGCCACCTTCCATCACGTTCGCTCGTGGAGACGGGCTCCCCGTGAGTCCTACCACTTCAAGTTATTCGGAGCCCCGGGCCCATGCTCAGCGCTCATTACTCATTGTATATTCCGACAGGTACCGTACAACCGTGTTTTGTCTTCAATGCTGCATCTACGCACAGTGCGCATGGAGGTGAAATGCACACTGGACGGAAACATCAGCCTGCAAGACTTGAAGCTTGAAGACGCCGTGGCGGGGCGAATGTGGAGAATGCAGTGAACAGTGGCTCATGCCAGTGGTGGAAGGCTTCGCATCGGAGAGGGAGGCCAGGTACGAGACCGAGCCTCGCCCGCCCTCCTTGCGCGAGGTTATCTGGACGTTCATCCCCGAACACTCACCCTGGTTCTGACAGCCGCGAAGAAGGGGGGAACGAGGAGGCTGGCATAATGAATGAGGACCCCGAGGTGGCGAGTCTTTGACTGAGTGTCATTGACAGTCACTGTCAATGCCGGAGGCCAGCGCCCGACTGAAGGCGGCCCGTCCGTCGCGCGGGGCTCTTAGTCAGCTAGGGGTTCCATACATAGTAAGTAGATACATGTGAGCGTCCAGAACTTATTTTCGGATGAAGCATGAAATTCCGATACTTGAAACACGAAATCCCCCAGCGACATGTACGAACGAGAAACTGTGGACGGCTGGTTTTAGGAGCCTCGCCCCAAATGGCCAATATGGCACTAAGCTAAGGGTTGCCGCGTCTAGTGTGACTGTGTGGCTGAGATTTCCCACGCATACAGTCAGTGCATGAATCACGTTGCGCGCATATCCATCCTGCGGTGCGCGTCTTAAATCCTGCCACTTCTCTGACAGCCTCACTTGCGACTTCCACTATATCGTGCCCATTCACAGGTCAGAAACCATATCTATGTAGTACCCCCACCGAGTGTCTTTGCTGAACGTGTCCGTGATGTCAGATATGCTCCCTGTTGAGCTGCTTTATGTCATCATCTTCTACTTCGTCAACAGCCGCACGCCAGGCAGAACGAGCAGCCTGGCTCGCGATAATGGGTACCCTTGGCGCCCCGTTGTAGCAATAAAACCAGAGTGGCATGAAGTCCAACCTCTCACTTTGGTGTCCAAGGTCTTCCGCGAAATTGTCTTGGAGGCTTGGTTTCAGACCTACGTAATGGATATCCCCAAACTCCACTTGAGTGAAGAGTGGTTGTCTACCATCCCTGGCGTGGTATCTTGGACAAGGTACCTACGATCCTCCTGTCTGCGTCCTACGCCACTGACCTATGCAGGATTCTGCATTGTATCGTTCCCTACCAAATGATCGGCGGAGTGGCGAACGGCTTCTTTAATTCGGAGATGGATCTCACCATGTTTACTCATCTCCGCAAAGTACAATTCGACGCGCATCCCTACGAGGATGCATATGTCGCAACCCGGACGCTCAGGCTGGGGACAGTACTTCCGACGGTGCTTGAATTCGAGTTGCGCTATCACTTGCGGCCGAGTCCGGACCAGCTCGTTCACATGCCAAACGTGTTCCCTAATCTCCAAGTACTCGACCTTCATCAAGAACGGGCATGGTGTAGCCTTTGCGACACGTGTAATATATTGCATCTCGATCAAGTTCCACCATCATCCGTGACATACAACAACGGCGACGGACTCCCGGTGCGTTTCTGTGCGTTTCTTGAATTCGCTTCAGGACCGCTCATGCTCATCCCTTAGAAACTGTACAACCGCCACTTGGCATCCCTACCTCATCTGCGCACAGTACGCCTGAGCGCGGCATATACTCTTGACGGGGAAGTTTGCCTGCAGGAACTGAGCACGCCATGGCGAGGCGAGTGCGGAGACTGCACTGCACTTTTCCTCACCGATGAGGACTTCACGCCAGAGTGGGAAGCTAGAAACAAAGCCGAGCCGCATCCGCCCTCCCTACGCGAGGTGGTCTGGACGTTTGCTCCCGCTTCGCAGGAGGCATTGGATGCTGAAAGTGGAAGTGATGGTGAGGATTACGGGCCAAGTAGTTCCGAAGAGGATGACGAGGAAAGCAGTTCCGAGGAGGATGACGTAGAGGACGGCATACTTGAAGAGAGCGACTTGGATTTCGGCGACGAAGAGAGCGATCCTGATGTCGACGACGAAGAGAGTGATTTGGATGTCGACGAGGAGGAGAGCGAACCTGAGATCGATGACGAGGAGAGCGAACCTGATGTCGACGCCGAGGAGAGCGAACCCGATGTCGACGACGACGAGAGTGATCCCGATGTCACCGACAGGGAGAGCGAACCAGATGTGGATGACGAAGAGAGCGAACCCGATGTTGACGACGAAGAGAGCAATCTCGATCTCGATGACAGTGAAGTAGATGCGAACAGCATTGAAGATCACGAGGAAGAAGCCAGCGATGACGTTGACAGTGAAGAGGACAGCTTTGGAAGTGATGTATGACATAGAAATGTGAGGTACGTGGAATAATAGAGGACATCGGTGAAGTACTTCACTGCTGCGTCTACTCACAGTGCGCGTGGACATGATTTGCGCGCTGGATGGATCCATCAGCCTGCAAGACTTGGATCTTGAAGATGCTATCAGAACTAAGGTGAGTTTTCGGGGGTGAATGTGAACGTCCAGATAATTCGGCGCAAGGACGGTGGGCGGGGCTCGGCCTCGTACGTGGCCCACCCCAGTGTGGAGCCTTTTGCCATGAGCCACTGTTCACTGCATTCTCTACATTCGCCCCGCTACGGCCGCATCGGAGGCGATGATGATGGGGTTCGCATGCATGAGGACGACGAGAGGGCATGCCTTTGACTTGAGTCTCGGAGGCCAGCGTCCGCGGCCCCTCCGTCGCGAATTTGATCATACGGCTGCGTTATTCAGAACCAAATGTGCAGCGACTCGGATAGCATCGCACTGTCGTTTTGGCACAGAAAGTATACTTTGGCACGTCCAATTCGCAGTGCGCACGGGTGCCGGCCCCGGTCTTACGATGGAAATAACCCGCCTCCTACTTCTACGCGTCATGCGAGAGTCTCGACGCGAGATCTCCTGCGCTATTCCAGGTATACTGCGAGGATTCATGGTACACGCAGTACCGCCTGGTCAAATCCGAAGGCTATTCCTGTCCAGGTGCGGTGGTTCTACGCCTCACGAAGCCTTTGACGCCCGCATTGCATACACCGCCCGGACGGATATAGCGACAGTGGCCTGCCGCAGTGCACGGAGGAAGATGGGGAATTGAACTGTAAGTCATAATGACGCCTTGCGAAGAGCTCTGCGCACCCATGTGCGCGCGCATCTTCGAGCGCGGCCGTGGATGACGCCTGCATGCTGTTCCGGGCGGCGAGGATCGGTGGGCTGGAGGTGTATAAAACCGGTGCTCGGTGAGGGGAAGGGCTCAGCAACGCACAGCTACACTTCCCAGAGACACTCTTACCCACCCAACCCTCTCACAACATCTACGACATGCCTTTCTTCGACAACAACAGCTACCAGGACACCACCTACAGCTCCGGTAGGTCTTCCTCCTTGCATCTTACTCCCCCGAGGCTGACTGTTCTGATGCACAGACAACGTGGTGGAGGGCGGCGGGTTCGGCGGCGGGTTCGTCGACGACTCGTACCAGAACACGCAGACGACGGACACGTCGAACACGTTCGAGAGCACGCCGTGCGGCGGCACCTTCGACGAGCAGAATGTGCAGACGACCGACCAGACGACGGTCCAGGACTCTTCGTTCGGCGGAGGCTTCGGAGGCAGGTGGTGAACGCATTCGGCATGCGGGCGGCCTGCGCTAGGAGTGGGTTTCGTGTGTTGTACGAGTAACCTACGAAGGCAGTGGAAGTGGAACGTCTGAGGCGAGGAAATGGAGGATATGCTACGACTCTCGATAAAGGATACATGCCTATACATGCCAATGGACTTTTGACGCTCTTCCCACTCATAAATCTGTTCTGCTGTATGACCGAATGAGTTCATAAGCACATGAACATAAGCTACGACCAGAAAGACTTCGACCCAGGGCAAGTATTATACTTAGCTGACTCAGACGTGTGCACCGCACGTTTCTCATCGTCCACCTCGAGCCTGTGCCTCGGTGATCGCCACAGGGCACCCGGCAGACTTGCGGCAGACCCTGATGCAGATGCTGTAACTTTTAACCTGCTCGAGTGGACCAGGGCACCGCGAGGTCCAATGAGAACACTCCGATACCTCAGTGGCCACTCAAGCAATCCGAAGTCAGTACCGAATTCGCCTTCAAGTGAGTCGACATGCCACGCATGACATCCAAATAGCGTGATACATTGCGTTTGTGTTATGCATTGATGCGGATTGCGACCATACTGATACACTCAGAACCCGGATACAGCGATATTGTACAAGACTCGTGCAATCGACATCGATCTCCGCGCTTAGACCCGAGTGTGCGCAGCGTCGGCCGGGGGCTGTCAATGACCGTCCGTCAGTGACCGGTCGCTCAGTAGAAAAGGGCATAAATCGAAGGTGCAGGGATCAAGGAAGAGATGTAGACAAGCGGTAGATACTCACGGCGGACTTGATGTCGAGCGCGCCCGCGAGGGAGTTGAACTCGCCGGTGGTGGGGACCGCCGCACCCGTGCAGACTGATGGTGCATGAGGAAAGCAGTGACAATGCGCGCCGTCAGCTCATCGTCGTAAGAGATGGAGATGGAGACGTACTGTCGATGACACGCTGCTCCGAGACGCCGATCTGCTGGGCGATCTGAGAGTAGGACAAGCCTGCACAGAACATAAGGGCGGTTAACGTCGACGTCAATGGTGCCCGAATACTCCTCGCCCGGAGAGCAGAAGCAACGGTGGGGAACACGAACCCTTCTTGTCCTTCGCGGCGGCGAGGGCAGCGCACTGTGGGTTCGGGGCCATGGCGGTAGTGTAGATGAGAAGAGAGGTGGAAATGCAGTTGGTGGATGCGGGGAGAGCGCAACTGGCGTGCTTGTCCGCCGGGAGGACCTTTATACGGATGCCTGGGCGGAATCCGGATAAGAGCCACGCTGGAGTCTGAAGGGAGGGGGCCTTTCCGTCAATCAGATGACCGGTACCCGATCCTGGATAACATCGCTTATCGTCTGCTGCTGCACTGTTGGAGGAAGGCTACTTATATCCGGGTACCACAGATGCTGGATGTGGGTGAAGTGCTGTGCATCAAGGGTGCGGTCAGACAGAGAAGCAAGACTGAGCAGAGCCTCGACAGCAGGGGAACCTACATCGGGAGTGTAGGGGTACAGCAATGAGTGGGTAAGCGCGCGGCTAGTTACAGGAGGAGGTACTTCATGCGGATGTTGCAAAGGTCGAGATTGCTATGCGGGATCCAAGGACGGTACCATGCTGGCAGCGGCACGGACTTCGCGCACAGGAATTCGCCGCCGAGAGGACCTTGCACGCCAAGGATAGGTCCGTCAGATACACCCAGCAGAAGACACTACCAGTGTGATCACCCAGCGACTTCAGTCACGCAACTCGAAGAATTGCAACGCGCTCATAGATATCTGCTGCAGCATAGTACGGAAGTAAACATCTTGTTTTCTCGTCGACTCCCGAGCAATGACTTATAATGGCGTCACAAGTATCTTGATCATGCTGACCACAGAGTTTTTCATGCA